CAACGGAGATTCAAAATGAGTTAGCTATTCACAAACCTGTTTCTATTTCCCAAGCTATTGGAATGGCTAAGCTAATCGAGTCCAAAATAAAAGAAAGCAAACCAAAATATTCTAAACCGTTTGGCACCTACCCAACACCCAAACCCACCAGTTTTGTACCATCAAACACTATCCCAATTGCAACTTCCCAACGTCCCACCACAACCCAATCACCGAAACTCCCAATTCGCCGGCTATCAAGTGCTCAAATACAGGAGCGGCGTGCACAAGGCCTATGTTTTAATTGTGATGAGAAGTTTATTCCGGGTCATAAATGTGTTTCGGGCCGTTTTCTTACACTCTTGGCAGATGAGGATTTACTAGCACAACCAAGTGAGAATGCTCACCCAGCGGATTCTGAGTTCACAACAGATCAAGATAGCACTTATTTTCAATTGTCAACTCAAGCTTTAACCGGTCAATTTTCACCCCAAACCTTGAAATTTAAAGGGTACATTGGTGGATTACCCGTTATGGTATTAGTAGATACCGGAAGCACACATAATATTTTGCAACCTCGAATTGCCCATCACCTAAACCTTCCAACTACCCCTATTCCACAATTTTCAGTCATGGTGGGAAATGGTTCCCATTTGCAATGTGAAGGCATTTGCAACGCTGTTAAGATTTCCCTTCAGAACAAACCCTTTACCCTCCCATTCTATTTACTACCTATCGAAGGTGCTGATGTCGTTTTGGGCATGGCCTGGCTGAGAACCCTGGGCACTATTCAAGCTGATTTTTCCATTCCCTCTATCACTTTCAATTATTATGATACTCCTATCACCCTACAGGGAGATTCTTCATCTAGCCCTACCCCTACTTCCTTTCACCAACTAACCCACCTTGTCCATACCCATTCTATCGCTTCCTTGCACCTTCTATTCCTTCAACCAAAATCCACATATGAGCCAACTTGCCCAAACGAGTCTTTAACATTACCAACCCTTCCTCCCCATTTAAATCCTCAGCTCACCAATTTAATTCAAGCATACCAACCAATTTTTCAGCCACATACTGGTTTCCCACCACCTAGACCCCATGATCACCACATAAACCTCTTACCTAACACCCCTCCAATCAATGTTAAACCTTACCGTTACCCTCATTCCCAAAAGACAGCCATGACGGAAATTATTGATGATATGCTAAAAGACGGCTTAATTGTTCCTAGCCATAGCCCTTTCTCGTCTCCAGTTTTATTAGTAAAAAAAAAAGATGGTTCTTGGCGTTTTTGTGTGGACTATCGGGCACTTAACGCTGTTACTATCAAAGACCGTTTTCCCATTCCCACAATTGATGAATTACTAGACGAATTAGGATCTGCTAAAGTTTTTACCAAGTTAGACTTACGCTCGGGTTATCATCAGATCAGAGTGGCATCAGAGGATACACATAAAACAGCTTTTAGAACTTTTGATGGCCATTATGAATTTTTAGTCATGCCTTTTGGTTTGACAAATGCTCCTTCTACTTTTCAATCAGCTATGAATGATCTTTTGCGACCCTACTTGCGAAAGTTTGTTTTAGTGTTCTTTGACGATATTCTCATTTTTAGTTCCAATTTTACTGACCATCTTAATCATTTGCAGGTTATCTTTAACCTATTACAGTCTAACCAGTTTGTTGTTAAGCTATCTAAATGCGTCTTTGCAGTGGATAAAGTTCATTATTTAGGCCATGTTATTTCTAAGGGGACGGTTGCACCTGATCCGGAGAAGGTTAAGGCCATCTTGGATTGGCCTCCGCCTCGTTCTCTCACGGCACTACGTGGATTTCTGGGCTTAACAGGATTCTATCGCCGGTTCGTTCGTCACTATGCTTCACTCGCCGCTCCCCTCACCGATTTACTTCGTTCCACTAATTTTGTTTGGAGTTCAGCGGCAGCCAGTGCCTTTACAGAATTACAACACAGAATGACCGACATGCCGGTCTTAACTTTACCACAATTTACAAAAAAATTTCTAATTGAAACAGATGCTTCCGGAGTTGCCATTGGTGCGGTCTTGTCTCAGGAGGGCCATCCTATTGCTTTCTTCAGTAAGAAAATGTGCCCACGAATGCAGGCGGCATCCGTTTATGTTCGAGAGATGTTTGCTGTAACAGAAGCAGTAAAAAAATGGCGTCAGTACTTAATTGGTCAACATTTTCACATACATACAGACCAAAAGAGCCTACGCAACCTATTACTACAAAAAATTCAAACCCCTGAGCAACAGAAGTGGGCTGCAAAGTTACAAGGTTTTAACTTCGAAATATTTTACAAACCTGGCAAGACAAATGTTGTGGCTGATGCTCTGAGTCGGAAGTATTCCTCGGACCCACCGGTTTGTTTGTCTTTCTCATCCGCTGTTCCAACCCTTTTGTCAACTTTGCGCGAATTTTATACCACAGAAGCAGGACAAAAATTAGTTACCAACTTACTTGAGGACACAACCGACCAAAGATTCTATAATTACTCTAAGGGGTTTCTACAATACAAGGGGCGGTTGTTTTTACCTGATATAGCCAGCTTGCGAATCCGAATACTTCAGGAGTCTCATTCCACCCCATCTAGCGGTCACTCCGGAGTCAGGGGGACTTTGGCAAGACTTTCCACCTCTTTTTGTTGGCCTGGCATTTACAAAGATGTAAAAACTATGGTCAGACACTGTAATATTTGTCAACAAACCAAATATCTTACACAGAGGAAACCTGGGTTGCTACAACCACTACCCATACCTGAAAGAGTCTGGGAGGACATCTCCATGGATTTTATCACCAGCTTGCCCAACTCCTTCGGCCACACGACCATCTGGGTCCTTTGTGATCGTTTCTCCAAGTCTGCACACTTCATTGCAATGCCTACTCATTTCACTGCCAAGGACCTCGCCCTCCGTTTTTCTGTTGAGATTGCACGGCTACATGGCCATCCCAAATCCATCGTCTCAGATAGAGATCCCTTGTTCCTCAGTACCTTTTGGAAGGAATATTTCAAAGTCAATGGAACACAGTTAAAATACAGTACATCCTATCACCCAGAAACAGATGGACAAACAGAAGTTTTGAATCGCTCACTAGAAACATACCTGCGATGTTTTGTCAGTTCCGAACCACGAAGGTGGTACAAATTCCTCCACCTCGCTGAATATTGGTACAACACGTCTTATCACTCCGCCATTCAAATGTCGCCTTTTAAGGCCCTGTATGGTCGCGAGCCTCCGAATCTCACAGACTATATCTCAGGTTCCACACACGAACGGACGCTTGACCACAACTTGCAAGAAAGGCAGCAGATATTAGTTACCTTGAACGAAAACTTAAGGAAAAGCCGAATCCAGATGGAGAAACAAGCAAACTTGAAAAGAAGAGATTTTACCTTTAATGTGGGAGACCGCGTCCTCCTCAAGCTCCAACCGTATCGCCAAACCACCGTTCTTCGCCGGAGCTCACAGAAGCTAAGCCCTCGCTATTTCGGTCCCTTCTCGATCATTAAAAAAATTGGCACCGTGGCTTACATGTTGGATCTACCTTCCACATCTCGCATACACCCAGTTGTCCACATCTCTCTACTACGGCCTTACTTTGAAGATACCACAAAACACATTTCATCATCCTTTCCACCAGGGTTCTCACTTCCGTTTGATAAAGCTTTGTCAACCCCTTCCACCTCCGCTATGCTGCAAACCACAACAAAAATGTTAGATGCACTGAAACCGGAACATGCAAAGAAAAATGAAGACAAAACGGTTGTGGTTACCTCTACAGCTCCGAAACACCAACTGGAAAAACGTTTCACCAAAGTACCGGCAGAAGAGGTTCTTGGCAAGCACATGAAAGAACAAGTACAGAAGGAAGAGGAGAGCGCATTCGTTAGTGAGAAGGAAGAGAATACAAAGTTATGTTTGAAAGAGAAAACAGAAATTACAAAGTTGTGTTTGAAAGAAACAAAGAGTAATGATACACAACTCCCCAACGTTCCCTCTCTGCCACGCATTCATGAGGTGTCCCCTCCTCACAGCTTCCCACGCATGCAGAACAACTGTCCCCCACCTGTCCTCACGCATGCGCCGTTCCAGCCACCTGCCCCACTTCCCAATGTTCCGCCCACGTGCTCTCCCATCCGTTCAATTATCACACCAAATTCACATGTGAACCTTGAGGACAAGGTTCCTATTGGGCCAGGGAGTATTGTTAAGAAGTTAATCAGGCCCATTAGAGAGAAGAGAATTCCAAGCCATTTAAATGATTTCTATTATTAATTAAGAGTGTTGTTAGTAAAAGTTCTTTTATTTATTTAGTGGTACTTTTCTGTTTTGGCCCATGGCCCATTAGTAAGGGTGACAACCCTACTATTTAAAGTGTAAGTTTTTCTTTAATGAGTAAAGAAAGTTCAAGCTAATTTTATGTCCCTTTCTTTTGATGCCCCTTAGACCTTTTTGATTCTTAACTTTAGCGTACACTAACAGGGAGCAACACATAAATCAAATGAGGTAGACCAGATATACAAGGAAAGAAGAAAGAGAAGTATGTCCATCTGAAAGAGAAGAAGAAGGTGTTGAGAAAAGGAAAAAAAGTTAGATCAAGTTGTAAGTTCAGTCAACTAAATAAACAACATCATCAGGTTAGTACCAAATCTGAAGTAATTCTGACTGATAATGAGACAGAAAAGAGAAACTGGGTTCTACTTCATGGGGATGTGAAGGAAGTTTCAAGTGACATCTAGGACCTGGGGAAGGAGTATGGAATCGTTCACAGAGGAGAAGAAGGATAAATTCTCCAAGAATTAGTAGTTGGGGTGAAGGGGAGAGATGTGAAACCTTAAGGTAGAGAAGGCGCATCAAGGAGGTAGATTTTAGTCAATAATGATGAACCTGATAAGCTATAATGTAAGAGGGTTGGGGGGCCTATCAAAGAAAAACGAAATTCGGAATCTAAGTCAAACACATAAACCAAAGGTGATATGTATCCAAGAAACAAAAATGGAGATTATAGAAAGGAGCTTGTGTACCTGGTGGTGGGGAACTACAGAGTGTGATTTTCACTTCAAACCTTCAGATGGAAGATCAGGCGACATCATTACAATCTGGGACAACAAAGAATTATGTGTAAAAGAGAGAATAGTGAAGGATCATTACATCTGGCTGAAGGGAGAATGGGGTGAGTCGAAGATACAAGTTAATGTAGTGAATGTATATGCACCGTGTGAAGCAAATAGAAAGAGGCGATTGTGAGAGGAACTAAAAACAGAGATCCAAGAAAAGTGCGAAGAAATATGGTGTGTGGTTGGCGATTTCAACGTGATACAGGAGGAATCAGAGAGAAAAGGAAGAAATGAAAACTCAAGAAGGGGTGAGATGTTAGATTTTGATGAGTTCATTACAGAATCAGAATTATTAGATTTACCTCTCCATGGAAGAAAATACACTTGGTCTAGGGCTAGAAGATCGACAATGAGAAAGATAGATCGAATTCTCGTTACAGAAGCTTGGGCCAGAGAATAGCCTAACGGTAAATTGAGCAGCATCGGCAAAAGTCTATCTGACCACTACCCAATCACACTGAGAGAGTCGAATCAGAACTGGGGACCAAAAGCTTTCTGTATGCTGTCATGCTGGAAGGAAATTGAGGGTTATGAAAATTTTGTCAGGTAGAGGTGGAGAAATATCGAGATAGAAGGATGGGGCATGTACATCTTGAAAGAGAAAATCAAGCAAATAAAAGAAGGGCTAAAGGAGTGGCACAAGAATCACACCCAAAATCTCGGAGAAAGATTCAAAAGAACTAAAGAAGAGCTGAACAAAATAGAAATCAAAGAATAATTCGTGGGGCTGTCAGATGCAGAAAGGTCCGAAAAGAGAGACTTTTTTATAGAACTGCACAAGCTATCAAATTTAAATTGTACCATACTCAGGAAGAAGACAAGGATCAAATGGCTGAAAGACGGCGATGAAAACACCAAATACTTTCATGGCTATATTAATAAAAGGAGAATAGAGAACGAAATATTGCAAATTGATGGAAACGGTAACAGGATAGAAAGAGCGGAAGATATGAAATGCCGTAGCTGAACAGTTTGAGAAACAATTCTCAGTGAGAAGCAAGGTAATCACTGACACAAATATCAACTTTAAGCAAATCTCAGAACAGGAGAGGAAGGAGTTGGTTGAAGAATTCTCAGAGGAAGAGATCCGTAAAGCAGTGTGGGATTGTGACAACTCAAAAATCCGGGATCCCGACGATGTAAACTTTGGGTTTCTGAAAGAGTTATGGTGTGATGTTAAAGCTGATTTCAAAAGAGTGCTGGAAAAGTTTCACAAACATGGAAGGATAGTTAGAGGGGAAAATTCTTCCTTTATCGTGTTAATCCCAAAGAAGAAGAATCCTACAAAACTGGAGAACTTCTGATTAATTTCGTTAATTGGGTGCATATATAAGGTATTAGCTAAGGTGCTTTCAAACAGACTTCGAAAAGTGATGGGATCTATTATTTCAGAAACTCAAACCGCGTTCATTTTGGGTAGACAAATTATGGATAGAATTTTAATAGATAATGAAATTGTGGATGAGACAAAGCGAAAGAAAAAAGAAGTTATATTATTCAAGGTGGATTTCGAAAAGGCATACGACAAATGGGATTGGGTATTTCTTGAAGACGTAATGGCTAAAATGGAGTTCCATGAGAAATGGAAAAGGTGGATTAAAGAGTGCTTGAGATCAACATCAGTGTTCGTTCTAGTAAATGGCAGTCCAACAAAAGAATTCAAGGTAGGTAGAGAATTGAGATTGGGAGATCCACTATCTCCATTTCTATTTTTATTGGTGGCATAAGGCTTTATTGTCCTCATGAATAGAGCGGTTGAATTGGGAAAATTTTCTTGATTCAAATTTGAAAGAGGAGACGAGAGCTTCTCACATCTCCAATACACGGACGACACAATAATTTTTGGCGAAAAGAACTGGGGAAATATTAGGAGCATTAAAGCAAATTTGTTACTCTTCGAAATGATGTCAGGCTTGAGAGTCAACTTCCAAAAAAAGTTGCCTTTTCGGAGTCAATATCTGCCAGTGCTGGCTTTGAGACGCGGCAAAAATTCTAAACTGTAAGGTTGAATCTGTATCAGTCAATTACCTTGGGATACCGATAGTTTCAAATCCAAGATTCAATAAGTCATGGCAACCAGTGTTGGATACAGTGAAAGCTAGATTATCAAATCGGAGAAACAAATAGCTATCATTAGGTGGTAAAGTGGTCTTGATAAAACCTGTCTTGTCGGCAATCTCAGTCTATTTTTAATCCTTTTTCAAAGATCTTGCAGGTATCATTCATAAACTTGAATCTTTGTTTAAAAGGTTTTTATGGGGGGTAGCGAGGAGGTGAGAAAAATTAATTAGATTAAATGGGATAAAACTTGTAGACCCGTAGAAGAGGGATGGGTGGGAATAAAAAACTTGAGAGATTTCAATTCCGTGTTATTAGGTAAGTGGGTCTGGAAAATTAGAAAGGAAAGGTATGGTCTTTGGTTTAAATCATTGACAGATAGATATGGGGTTCTGAGGGTTTATCAAGATCGTGCGATCCGAGTAGTTCATTATGGTGGAGGGACATTTGTCATTTAGATTTGGGCAGGTATATGGTATCATGTCATCAAGTGGTTGGGCCTGTTATCAGCATTTCCAAACGAGGGCTGGCAGCATATTGGACAGTTTGGTGCAATCATCGATAATGTTAGAAGCTCAATCCTAAAAGTTAAAACGGTGTGGTTTGCCTGCATGTGGACAATTTGGAAAGTAAGGAACAACAAGATCTTCAAGAACAAGAACACGACAATGGATCAAATGTTTGAAAGTGTCCAAAGGCTATCGTGGTTTTGGTTGAGTAATAAAAACAAATTAGTCCGGAGCAACCGACATCAATGGTTCATGAATCCTAGGCTAATTCTCATGTAGATTTCAGAATCTAGGGTCCAAGTGTATTTCGGAGTGGATCAGGAGCAGTTGAGGCAGGTTGTTATGCAAAATCATCGAGCGGTAGCCCGCGATTTTCTGACTGCATAGTCTTTGATATATGGTGCTTCTAATATATATATATATATATATATATATATATATATATATATATATATATATATATATATATATATATATATATATATATATATATATATATATATATATATATATATATATATATATAAGAGAACCTGACAAGGATATTCAAATTAGGTCTATAAGGGGAATATGATTCAGGCTGTATTGTTTAGGGGTGTTCGCGGAGCGGTTTGGGTGGTTTTTGAAGCAAAAAATCACCTGAACCGCAAGAGAGAAAAATATGCGATTCGGTTGGCTTTTAAAAATAAAACCAAACCAAATTAATGCGGTTTGGATTGGTTTGGTTTTTTACAAAAAAATTATTGAGCCATATATACACATGTAGAGAAAAATATGATTTTGTGTTTAATCGTTCATACATTACCATAAAAAAATTTATAATTGTCAAAATAAATTTATAATTTAATACATAAAATTGTGTATTATAATTTTACCTAAATCTAAAGAATAATATACATAAGATTGCATTTTTAAATAAATATTATATAAAGAATACGATAAAATATATTTTGTGAAAATAGTATTTATAAATGAATAATATTTTATTTTTTATGATTTGTAAATTAAAATAAATATCATACAAAGAATACGATAAAATATATTCATAATACATATTGATTTATCTAAAGAATTAAAGAAATATATATTGGTTAGTTAAATTTTATAACGTAATGCGGTTTGATTTGTAAAATATAAATCGCAAATCAAACCGAACCGTACAGTTCCATTAGAAAATAACTCAAACGCATTCGAAACAAATACTATTTTTTATGATTTCGATTTGATTAGATTAGATTTTACAATTTTCTATTGGACTGATTTGATTTTAAACACCCTAATATTGTTAACATTTTGAGAAGTACAGATTTGATAGTCTTTGCATTGTGCTGCTAGAACAATGATGCTACTGGTGTAATGTTCCCTGCACGTCTTGTGCTTGGAATTTTCATTAATATAATTCTTTTGTCTCTTAAAAAAAAATATATTTTTTGTTTAATGGGCTAAGGAACAACAACATCTTGGGTAGCCTCTTCTCTTTCCTAAGTCGGGTATTCAATTGGATCACACGTGTTAATAAAAATTGCATGTTTAAATGTTAAGAAGTAATCACATGTTTTAAATGTCAAGAAGTAATCACATGTATTAAATATGTTTTAAATGTCAAGAAGTAATGAATGACAGATGATATTTTAAAGGTAAGAAGTAACAAATGACAGATGAAACTGGAATTTATTTAAAGAACTCATTTAGAGGTGTTCAATTCACGTAGTGAAGATGGAATGACATCTAATCCCAAAGTGTTCAATTAAAAGCTATTCAAATTATAAATCTTTAATATTTTTAAATACTATTTAAATAAAATTAAAGTACACTCGTTAATATAAATCCTTAATATTTTTATTTAATATAAAAACTGCATTCAATAAAATAACTAGACTAAAATTATATATTGCTCAAAGATTATATGGATATGCATTACTATAGTTGATGAGACTAAAATTTCCATTTAATCTAAAATATCAAGTTCATAGATAGAGATTGAAGATTAAAATAAATAAATAAAATTGAAATTATTTTTTATTTTTGTTTTTTTGAACAAATTACAACTTTTAGTTTTTAAGCTAAAATAAATTAATTTTCTGAAGTGTTTTTCTCTTAAATATTTAGTTTTTAAAAATATTTTCAAAAATTAATAAAAATTTAAAAATAAAATAATTCTCCAATGATCACCCGTTCTAAAATTATTTTAGTTTCAAAATTTTATGGATAAATGGTTAATAGTTTAATCATGGGAGAATATAAAGCACTACATTTTAAAAATTACACTAATAGTGTGTACGAATGTAATCATTAACTATTATATATAATTTTGATCTAATTATTTTATGTTATATAATTTAATCTTTAATTACTATTTATAAAAAAAAATTAATTGATTTTATTTATATAATTATTTTTTTAAAGATTTTATTTGAAAATTAGAGGGTTAAGTTGAAGTTTTTTATGGGTGGATTCATGCCTTAAGATGTATAGTTAAATTTGAGTTTTTTTTATTGTTGTGGATTGATGCATTCACTATCTATGGTTAAGTAGATGCATGGTTAAGTTGAGCTTTTTTTACTGGTAGATTTTTTTATTTGGAACAAAATAATGAATGACATATTTAAATGTTAAAAAAATAATGAATAATAGATGAAATCTGCACCTCTTGATTAAGTGTGTTTAATTCAAATCGATTTAAATTATAAATCAACTTAAATATTTACTAAAAATAACCCAGAATTCAACACAGATATGTTTAATTACCCAAAATCCAATATTATTAGATATATTTAATTTTTTTAGAAAATCATTTGAATTGATCTAATTTTAAACTTTAGGTAGAGTTATGTTCAATTCAAGTAATTAATGGCAGATGAAATCATGTGTTCAATTCAAATCGATTCAAATTATAATGGTAAACCAATTTAAAAATCTATAAGATGAAATTATACTTTATCTAGATGTGTTGAATTCAAATAGGTTTAAATTATAATCATAAATTAATTTTAAAATGTAAGAATTATCCAAAATTCAATATTATTAGTTGTATTTACGTTTTTTTAGAAAACTGCCTGAATTGATCTAATTTTAGACCTTACGGAAAGCAGTTCAATTCAACTAATGAATGGTAGATGAAACCACATCTTATTAGTATTGAAAATCTATTTAAAATTATGGAGAATTTCTATCAATCTTAATGAATAAGATTATTATCAATACACAATGACAATGAAAGAAAGAAATAGTATTTGACAAAATTGGGAAAGAAGAAAAATGATTTTATGCAGAGTTTCTCTCTGTCCATAAACTGTGAAAAATCTTATTCACTTGCAACTATAAATTATGTTGATACAAGTTATGAGTGATTACAAAAATAGGGGTTACTTCCTCTATTTATAATAAACTTGTTTTCTCCGTAAGGCAAAGCTCACAAATACAAAAAGCCCAAAATAACCATTTAACCTAAGTCTAACTATTGTGTGAAGCAACCTGCTTCGACACACACAACTCGACACACATTTGACTAATTTTGACACAACCTTGTTTATGTCGAGCAACATGTTGTTTCGGCACAAGGGATTACTATCTCAATATACCACCTAATTCATTAGGTCTGAGCTATCTACATTCATCATAGTTCTTAGTCTTCTGAACACTTCGACCTGCACACCCTTCGTTGTGATATCTGCAATCTGATTTTCAGTTCTGCAAAGTTCCAAGTTCAGCTTCCCTTTAGCTACATGCTCTTGAAG